CAAAAAAAGCCTGACAATTCATTGAGGGAATTCACAGAGGGAAGAACGTAGCACAGTGCAGGCAGTGTGAATGGGTGGTGAGCATTGCCGCAGCCTGTTGGCCCCAGAGTTTCTCATACTAGCCGCTAACTTGGCAGCCTGTAATCTTCCTGCAAAGGAGTGCTCCTTCTCCTCTCCAAAATATCCATCTGCTTGACTTAGCAAACCAGTGCCATGTGGTTCTGGCTGGGAGAAAGGAGGGGAGGCGAGGGCTCTTTCAGCCTGCAGGCAAGCTCACTCTTACAGATCATTGAGTCTGTAAAATGTGTTTGCTAATGTTAATTAAAAAGTCGTTAACTTTATAGCTACCCCATGCATGTTTCATCAGCCTTGGGTGTGGAAGCTGCCCAGGGAGAGATTTCCAGCTTGATGTGCAGCTGTGTAAAACCATGCAGGGGCTTTGAGTTAGCACAGCCCAACTCTTTTTCAAGACCCGCTTTCAAGAGGTAGCATGAGCGTGTGTCGGACGCTTCTGCTGCTGTACTGATCAATGAGTACTGCTGACAAAATGGCCAAGAGTGTCAAGACCGCAAATGAAAAGCAGTGATCTAACTACTTACCCACTTTAGGGTTTGATATTACTACCCATTGCTCTATGTAAAATCCAATTTAGATGATTCTAGGGGACTTTAAGTCTTTGGCCCTCCTCCTTCTTTGGGAGTAAAGTTCTGCTTAGGGAAGAATTGCTTACTTGTTTGGAGATTTGATAGCTGCTAGAGATGTGTTTGTATTGGGGAGTATGATTCTGCAGAGCGCTTTCTCAGAGGAGAAAGCTCTCTCTTAATGCCAAAAGACAGTTGTGTGTATCATGTGGTCTTTCCTGGTTGTACTCTGTTGAGAATATTTTATCCCTAGTGCCCAGCTGTCTCCTCCTGGGCCCCCATAAACTGTGTTGTCCCAAATGCAGCTGGACTCAGTAGTCAGAAATGCAGCGTAGTCTTTGCTGAGGCCGGAGCCCTTCTTTACTTTGCAGTCTAAGTCCAAGAGCTGAAAATGGTAGATCTTGGGAGGAGGCCTTGGGGGGTGACAGAGAAGGCATTTTGTATCAGTTGCAGCCCATGCTTCATCTTCCTGTTCAACTTAGGGTAGAGGAAATGGGTGAGGAGGGCAGATTATGGGTCGGTGGTCAGCCTTCCTCTGTGAAGAAGGGAATAGCATTGCTATCGAGGTGGGGAGGGTGGAAGGCATTTGGGAAAATGAGTGCCATGTGGCCGAGTGGTATGGCCAAACTCTGTCAGTAGGGCTTGACCTTATAGTCAGTCAGTCAGGAAGGCTGACAATGCAATCAGGTCAGAGCTGGAAGTTTTTTCTCCGTTGAAGAGGCTCTGTAAGTAGTTGGCCGAGTATAAAAAGGAAAGTACATCATTTGCACTTCAGCATTACCAAATCTTGGGCCTGGTCTCCATGCTCTGCAGTCATAGCTCGTTCGTTGAATTAGTTGTACAAAGTAGCCGTGCTGGCAAGGACCACTGGTCTGACAGGGCAGCAGCTCCGTGGGCTGGAGCATCACACACAGCTGGTGCTGAGGATGTGCCCAGCCGCAGACGGTTTTTTGGAGCGGGAAGTCTTCCAGCCCATCTTTTCTACTCACCGTCACAGATGTGTCTTGTGAAAGCATAAATCCTGAGTGATTTTTAATTTCATATCTGATGAATTTTAAATGATTACTCATTTAAATGATTTAATGTGCAAAATGCTCTCTGACATGCATTTTGCACGTGCCATGTCAAAGCCCCTCCAGGCACGACACAGCAGGGTCATGCCAGGAGGGATTTTACAGACATAGGTCTGAGCTCACATCGGGCATTTCAGTTCCACCAAAGGGTCAACGCCGTTGTGACAGCGGGGACTTCATTTGTGACTGTGCTGTGAATGCTAAAAGTGCACGTGGGTTCAAGAGGAGGCTGGATGAATTCACAGAAGACAAATCTATAAAGGATATTCTATACCATGGCAGTATCTCTGCTGCAGAAAGCCTTTAAGCTGCAAGCAGCTGGAGGCTGAGAGAGTGTTTTAGGGAAGTATTGTGCCATGCTTGTCGTCTTGTGCTCTCCTGTGGACCAAAACAAACTTTCTATGTGTGTGTTTTGCATCTATGCAACCATCTTCTCTTTTAATGGTAGCTGAGCAGTTAAAATGTCTTTGTGTTTGGCTGTATTTGATTATTTAAGAGAAGTGTAAACGTAGAGAATTGAAAGGACTTAAACACTTCTGGTAAAGGAAATGCTGTTTGCACTGTGTACTTGATTGTGAATATCAACAGCATTCCAATGTTTCCTGTTTCGGTATTTTCCTTAACGATGGTAACAGTCCAAAAATATTTCAGATGAGATTGTAGGCAGGAAATCTAGTCTAACACATGTCACTGTTAAAAATGGATCAAATTACTAGCTGAAGAAAACATGCATGGTCTGCTTTTTCACCCAAAGGTGCAAATCTGTTAATTTCCTAGGATTTAAAACCAGCCACAAATTGCTTTCTCTGAAAATGCTTTTCTAAGTGGCACTTCGAACGTGTGAACGGAGTTGGAAAGGCCTGTTTTCTGCCTCGAAAGTGGGTGTTCAACAATGTTGGCGCATACACCGAATTCCT